TAGGTGTACTTTTTAATAGGTACTTCTATTCATAAAGCAAAACCAAAAAAAGCTAATTTTTTTTTATTAGGAAGTGATATTTTTACATACATAATAGTTTAACCTGATTATAATGTCATTGGATATAATGACAACCCTAATATAATGTCAAATTTTTATAGGTCCATGATTTTATTATACTAGATAATGTTAAAAAAACCCATTTGTAATGACATAAAACAGTGTTATAACATCATATGTAAAGCACTCCCAGATTTACAAAATTAGATTACAAATTTTATTTAAAAAAGAAAATACAGTACATGTACTACATGTTCAGTTTCTAGGGTCAGAGTCCACTTCCTAGAACAACTATGGGTGGTACCTTCACCACCTGACTTCAGTGGGGTGAGGTTTGTCACATCTTTAAACGATGTGACAATTGGTTAGTCTGCATACTTACTCCTGTTATTTTATACAGATGCAGATATTGTTGAGCAAATTAAATCTTCAGACAAAAAAAAATGTGGATGATGAAGATGATGATGAAGATAAAACATCAGACAGAGAAAATGAAGTGCCATCAACCAGGGAAGTGTGTAATGCAATAAGATTATTGAAAATGTTTTACAGGTCTCGGAAAAGTTCATAAAAAATAATGAATAAAGTGTATGATTTAGAAAATGACATCAATAAACAATTTTTAGGTGAAAAACACCTACAGTCTAAAATAACTGACTTTTTTAAGTGAATATTGTTATTGTGTCTTTTTAATTGGCATACATTTAACCTTTTGTTGCCTTTTCATTCGACATTATTCTCAAAATAAGAAGTGCCACCATTATCGAAACTTAAGACAAATAGAAATTTCTTATAAAAGGTAATTTTTGAAATTTTTAATTACATCGATGTAAACTTAAATATAATAATGTAAATAAAGTTGATTTAAACATTTAGTTTGCACTTTTATGCATATGATAATAAATTATTATTACCATAATAGATACAGTATACTATATTACCATTAAGAAATAATTTTATGGTAATACATATGATGTTAAATTAGAATGGATTTTATAGTAGATTCTTAAACACACTTGGTACTTTTTATGGGACTCTGAGTTTGCATTTTTTGCTTGAAGATCTCCTGATTCCAAAAATATCAAAAAAGGAAACAAAATTCTGCATGTTGGTTTGTATTTTGCTTTATATCTCAGGACCCTATGGACCAAAAATTTTGAAATTTGGCAGGAATACTTCTACTTTTGGGACATTGCTGCTATTACATTTTGGAGATTATAAGTCAAGAGGAGACAGGTGGTAGGAAATCATATCATGATGGAGTCAGACTTAATTTTGTTGGCATTTACAACTTTTTTAAGAACTCATTCCTACCCCAAAAATAAGGCATTTGCTTTTTTATAATTAATGCTTGCTTACCCGTCGCGCATTGCTGCGATCTCAGAAGAAATTAAATTCAAGCAAACTCATTATGATAAAATTAAATTTACATTTTATCATTTTCATTGAAACTTATTATTATTCATTTTCATCGGGAAAACATTTCAAAGTGTCATTTTAATCTATTTATTTATTGGAGTGCTTGTGGATACACGATATTTTTTGTTTTTCCGTCTGGTGCATACATGAATAAATCGGAAGGTTTTCGGATGCGTGAACTGGCCACATACAGTTGTCCATGCAAGAAGCATGGATTCTTCAAATTTAGCCCACACACTTGCAGCAATTGTTAGAAGTGTGATATTCCCCATTTTTATATATATATTTTAATCCTTTATAATTTTAATTATTTAATTGCTCCTTCCTCTCTTCCTTGGCATGTGATATTTCTGATAGTTGGATAATAAACCGTTTTATTATAATTTGTCTTTTTAAATTATTTTGAGTTGATATTAAAATTTGGAAAAGAGGGATCCCTAGATCGGTAAAATAGGCGAATTTCTTTCTACAACTTCGGTTGTTGTTCGGGATACCGTTAAGGATTTAACAAAGTTTGAGCAAATACGTAATTAGCAAAAAATAGTTGAAATAAAGTGATTAAACAAAAATTATAACAAATATCGTAAATAATAGTTCACAAATGCATATATAGAGATATTTTTTGGAGGGGGGAAATGGTCTTCACAATTTGAAATCCATTGATCTCGCTATGAAATGCTTGTATACACTCTATTGTAGGATAAATGTACTATGCCAGAAACGGAGTGTATTAAAAACTTCCCAAAGCTTCATGGCAATCGTACCATGCCAGAAACCTTTGAGGGAGTATATTAAACAACTTCCCAAAGTTTCACGGCAATAATACGTGATAAACGGTGTGGTAATGCATGAAGGACAGACTGACACACACATGCACATTCATTTTTATATATATAGATTAAACATCTCAAATGCTATTTCAATAGAAAGTTCACATTATTTATGATATAAGATGTTTTTCCAGTCTACCTGACTCATTTTCAGATACAACTCCAAACTTAATCAAATATAACTGACATTTAAATTTTGAACATCAGCAGAACTAGTATTTGAGATGTTATACTGTAACATGGAGTTGGAACTGGAGGATGATTATAATGTTATAAAAATTGTTTCTTTATAAAATCTCACAACAGATGGTACTGCACAATTTTAACTTTGAGCCATACTCTTAGTGTTTCCTCCTATAATAATCCATTTTTAAACTTAAATGTTTTATTTTTGTATTATTTTTTTTTTGAAAAATAGAGAAATAATTGTTTGTTGGAATATAAAATATTATTTTTATATTTATTATATTTTTCCATTATAATATGAATTAAAAATAAAATAAAATATTATCTTCTATATTAAATGTTTATTTCAGATAGCCAACTGTTTAAATTTACCACAAAGGAATGTTTTCATTCTGTATTAGGATAGCTTTGGCTTCCTAACAAATATCAGTCACTGTTCAAACTAAATTTGAACTTTGAACCCTTAGTTTGAATAGTGACTGATATTCATTAAGAAGCTGAAGCTGTCCTAATAAAGGATGAAAACATTCCTTTGTGGTAAATTTAAACAGTTGGCTATCTGAAATAAACATTTAATATAGAAGATAATATGGATTCAGAAAACCATGAGGTAATGTTTGTTAAAAATGAAATATTCAATTTTGAAATGAAAATGAAATTAATAAATATTTATGAAAGATTGGAGGAAAGTGAAGTTTGAAAAAAATAAAAATATTTAAAATTTTTTATCAAGAAGAAATATTGTTTTTAATGAAGTGAAAATACAAAAAAATTAAAAAAAAACATTCAAACTCTTTCAAGCTAAATCACTCATTTTCAGGACCATAAAGAATGAGTTGTTAAACTCGGAAGTGCTTGAAGTTTTTAATTTTTTGTATTTATTACTCCATTAAAAGCAATGCTTTTTCTTTTTTATATATTGTAGTGAAATTGTACTGTAGTCTAAAATTTTATATCATTAATTGGGCTGCAATTTGAAAATATTGTAAACCTGTAAATTCCCACTGTCATTCATCCATACATCTGCCTGTCTTTCCTTAATCTCGAGAATGGAGTAAGCTAGATGAAAGATGACACCAGGTATGGAAATCTTAGGGGCAGGAGATCCCAATTAACTGTATACAAACTTATGCAAACTGGAAGTCATGTTATTTTAATTCAAAAATTTCTCCCTGAAAGATGTTAGATAGATGACCATCATGACTCTATTGTTAAAGGAAAAGTGTGATGTACAGAGGCAAGCAACTACTAATTTGAGGAGGGAGCATATATTTTAAATGAAATAAATTAAAAATATGGTTAAAAATTGCAGCCTGGCATCGTGATGATGTCACAATAAATAATTACTCGTATATTATTCAGGTTGTTTTAAAATTGTGAAAATTTGTAAATTTCAATTATGAATTGTTTTTATTGAAAAATTAAAAATAGCATTAGTAGTAACCAACGATGGTTATAGCATAATGTTATATATACTGGAAGACGAGATTGGACTGGAGGTACTGGTAGCGTAATTGGCATACATCCGCATGGTAAGCGGCAGTTGTGGGTTCAAGTCCCGCTCTGTGCTAATTCTTTTCTTCCAGTTTAATCTAAATTATTTAATTAAAATTAAAATTATTAAATTTATTAAGAGATGGTACCTAATGCCTCCCTCTAATATCAAATTGTTTGGTAATTTATTAATATTATAGTTGTTATATAGCTCAATAGCATACGGCAATAGTTGGCTTTAGTAACATTTATATATATATTAAGAATCCTTAGTTCTTTACTTTTGAGATCATTTAATAAACTAACAACTCTTGTCTAGAAATTTCTAGAGACGTGATGTTTTTATTTTTTTTAGTTAGGAATAAAAAAGGTTTTTAAATTTATTTTATTCTTTTATATTGGTGTTTAGTTATTTTTAGATTATTTTATAGATTTAATTATCTTATTATCTAATGTATAAATTTTAAAATCATACAAACACAACCTATTGTATGTTTCCAGCACTAACTTTACACACAGAATAAACATTTTTGGCCCAATTTAAAGGCCTGCTTTAAGTTAGAAGCCATTCCAAAGAGCTGTGTTGAGTTCTAACTTGAAGCAGGTCTGTAAATTGGGCTGAAAATGTTTGTTTTGTGTGTAAAGTTAGTGCTGGAAACATAGAAACATACAAAAGATATGTTTGCATGATTTTACACAAGAAATTCCAGAAACTTTTTTGTAAATGAAATATGTTGTGTTATGTAAGATGATTATCATGATTAGGAATATTATATTAATTGAGTAATTGATAATTAAATTGATGAGATTTCATTGAAACCAGATTTATTTATATGTTTCAGATATAAATAATTAATGATATTCTACATTTAAGTTTTAATTGATTATATTAAGAGATATTACAGCTCAGATTTTTTAATAATAATATTTTATTGTGTTAATAAATAATGATTTTAATTTTAAAAAAATTTATTGTGTGGATTTTTTATTTAAATTAAATTTTATTTATAGAAATTTGAGTAGTGAAAAAAACTTTATAAATATGCCAAAAAGGAGAAGAACTCATGGAAATGATGAAGGAAAGGATCAAGAAGAACTTGTAAAGAAAAGACGTCGCATGCAGTTTGATGTGGTAAGTATAATAACTTTTTTAAGAATTTAATTTAAAATTAATTTTATACATAATAGTAGCTAAAATCAGTCTCTTATGATTTAGAGCTGTGGTTCTCAGCTGATATGCCATGAATTTCTCAAAGAGATGCTACAAAATTTCAAAATACTACTTAAAAATAACTGTTTATCATATTGTGTTTTGTATATTTTTTATTTAGAAAGTGCAGAACTTTGACATTTTATTTTATTATGTACAGGGTGATCATAATAAAAGGTATTCAGATTTCTCTGTAGAAAGAACTATTAGGCAAATTTCAACTGTATTTGGTATACAGAGTATACCAAATACAGTTGAAATTCTAGTTGTGTATGTAGTTTTAATTTTTGGGAACAAATTTTACTTTAAAATTCAGCAGCTAGGGCAAAATTTGGCAATGCTATTTCCTTCATAGGGCATATTGTATATGCTTTCAAATAAATTTTGAGTATAAAAGGAGTTATAAAGTATTCCTAATTCTTTGACAGGTGAACAGTCATGGTATTTTACCTAATTGTGCATTATTTGTTAAACTTTGCTGTTAATGAAACAGCAATGCCAGCTCAGCACTTACAGAATTTTGACACTTAAAAGGTTTATGACAATCTCCTGATTGTTGGGAATCTCATGAAAATGATTGCATTTTGAGAAGATTGGAATTTCCCTGTAAAACCAGGACAGGATTGCAAACCATTTGGACATCTGAAAACAGAAGATATTGCTACTGCAGTAGCGGAGCACAGAATGAGAAATTTTCATGGCAGTAGTAGTGCTTGTGCAATATTACAGCAATCAGACATTCCCTACTGACAATGTGAAAAGTTCTATAAAATATCTTGCATTTTTATTCTTACAAGATATCCTCATAGTCAACAATTAGATACTGATGATAATGATAAGCAGAAAACATTTTTCATGACATTTGTAACTTGAATGGCATAGATCAGAGGTCACCAAACTACGGCCTGCGAAGTCAGTTCATCCAGCCCGCTGCCATACCATGTCACAAATGAGCTAAAATATAATTATTTATATGGAAATATCATAGATTGTAGATAAACTTACTATGTAGAAAAAATTTAAATAAGTGTAAGTAAAAATGCCAAAATTGGTCCATTCTGGTTTTTGCATCTGATAGCAATATGATATTTAGGAAAATCGGTGAAATAAAAAATTTAGCGACTTTTTGCCACTTTGGATATTGGAGCACTTTTTGTGTAAGTACCTGCAAAGAAGTTTCTAAGAAAAGCAATTATGAGCTTACTGCAGCAATCATGTTTGTGTATTAGTAAATAAATATATTGGTTGTCTTTATTATTATTGGGTTTGTTTATTCAGTATACTGTATTGAACAAAATGGTTATGCACCCGTACTCATCATTCTCTCAGTTATGTAGCCCGCTATGAAAAAAGTTTGGTGACTCCTGATGTAGATGATGCATATCCTGGCAAATTGTATGGCATGATGAGGCTCATTTTCATTACATGGTGATGCAAACTCACAACTGCTATATTTGGTCTGATGAAAATCCATACATTCACCTACAAATTTACCATGGTAGTCAGCAAAGATAATAGTGTAGAATGGTTTCAAAGCATCTTTTATTATTGATTCTAATTTTTTTGAAAAAACTATTCACTAGGCAAGTGACATGTTTTGTTAATGTCACTAGTTATAGAGATATGCTCCAAAACTTTATCATTCTAGCACTACAGCAGAGAAATTGTCTGAACATTATAATCTTTACACATGATAGTACATCTATGCATTTTAGCTTAAATGTGCAAGCCTTATTGTAACAAGTGTTTGCATAAGTGTGATTAATCAATCATTTTCAATGATCATGATTGTCAGTCTGAATCCCTGACTTTTGGTTATGGGCTACCTAAAGAGGCTTGTTTATCAAGACTATGTTCTAACCTAACTGTTTCAAAAGACAGAATTTTACATCTGACAGTTTTATGCATGTCAGTTGCTTTTTGTCTTAAAGTGTGATGTTCATTTAAGGCAACATTTAGATGGAGTTGGAAGAAGAGTAGCTGTATGGAGATGGCATTGATCATGCCATATATCATACCATACATCAAATGCACATTCTACATCTGTAATTACATTTGTAATTAAAATAGAATTATTGCAATTTTGTTCCTTAACTCCCAAAATTTATTAAAAAGCAAACATAATATGCACATTAAGAGGACAGCAGTACAAAATCTTATCCTATCAGCCAATATTTGAAGTAAAATTTTTTTCAACAATTGAAACTACATACTTAGGATAGTATTTATACCAAATTTGGTTGAGATTTGCATAATAGCTCTTTCTACATAGAGCTCTGAACACTTACTTTTTAATTATGATTATTCTGTACAATACATAAGGGATCTTTGATATAACATTGACTTGTTGGTGTTCCATCAAAATTATTCATTTATTATCATTTTAAAAAGGCTGAGAATCACTGATTTAAACCATTTAGACATTTAAAAACACTTCAGTAAATTTTTGATTTATTAACCCCCTTTGAGCCGCCCATTTTTTTTAAAATTTTTAATTAAGCATAAAAAATACTTAAAACTGAAAAAACACGAAAGAAATGCGTTAATTTTGAAGAAAAAGCTTTATATTTTATTTTCCTTTGTTTCGCCTGTCTGTGAAATGTAACACCGATGAGTCATTGTTTACACAGCTGGGTGACCTTGAACACAGCTGGAGTCCGATTTCCCGGGACATTCTCATAGACATCGCGGGAGGACAAGGGTTTAAAGTAGGGTGACTTCAATCTGGCGGTATATTTTTAAATATTTTAAAAAAATTATAATTTTTATTGCGATTTCCGACCCCCCCTAATTAATTAAACTTCTATATAATAAAATCTATTAATTAAAAAAATTAAAAAACTATCGGAAGTCGTTTTTGACATCAGAAAGCAGCTTTAAATAACTTTACCGAAGGAAAATCGGTGCGCTACAACTTTAGAATGATAAATTAATTTTGATAAAAAACTCCCATTAAAAAAACATTAAGCCTTAATCGAGCCTTATCAAAGGCTCATTAAAATCGCGATAAAATTTTTTCGCGTGCGCAAAAAATTCTGAAAAAATTTGGGGACCTAAAAAACATTCCAAAAATTCAAAAAAAATAATTTTTTCAAAAGTAGCCTTAACGATGTAACGCTATAAAACTTGCTCGAGTCACACTCGAGCGCGGCTCAGAAGGGGTTAATATTATTTAAATGTTTTTGAATGTTGTAAAATTGATTTCATTTTAATTTGTTAAAGTTTTCTTATCTAATGATAATTTTTTAAGAACTATCATATTAAAATTGTATTTTTATAATAAAAGGATCATCATGGAGATGGTAATGAAGAAGATAACCCATATGAAGAATTATTCACAGCAGTGATGACAGCTACCGATAATGAGGGAAGATCTTTAAGCACTATGTTTCAGCTGTTGCCATCTAAAGTGGTAAATTTTAATTTAATATAATAAAAATGAATTTTGATATCATAAAGCAACATCTACAAACCCAATGTACACATATAATAAGCCAGCAACTACCGAATAATATCAGACAATTATATCATGATTACAGTAGAGCGTCGTTTATCCGAATCAATTGGGGACTGGGGTTATTCGGATAACTTATTTTTCAGATAACCGATTATGTACGAAAAAATATATTAACCTATCTCGTGTTGAAATTTTTCTCCATTGCGTGTTGTTTCGTGTTGAATTTTCATCAATGTTAAGCCTAACGTAAACTTTTTAAAATAATAATCATGGCTATTGTATCATTAAAAATTATTTCTTTATTTTGTACAAACAAAATAAATATAGTGAAAAATATAAAAACCAAAGAAATATACTTTAGAAGTTTTGATCTAGTATCAAAAATGTTTGATTCAGCACCACACAAAGTCCTCAGAAAAACACCACACAAAAGTGCCAGTGCTGCCAGCTAAAACACACACACACACACATACACACACACACCAACAAAAAAAAATATTGGAGTAGCCCAAGATATAGCCAAAGATTGCATTGCCACAGCACTAGCGAAAATTTAAATTTGCCGACTGGAATTCTTTTGGATAACCGACTTTCGGATAAATGGTGCTCTACTGTATTTTAAATTAATTACTAAATAATTTGTCACTAGAGGGTGGCATTAGGCACCATTTCTTATTAAATTTAATAATTATAATTAAATTGTGTAACTGGCAATGCATCCTCATGGTAAGCAGTAGTTATGGGGTCAAGTNGTGTAATATTCATTTTCGCAAAAAATTTATCTGCCCCATTATTAGCCCCCTTATTCAGATCTGCCGCTGGTCAAGGGTGTCACAATTTTTTATTTTTCAATCAGGGGTGCCACTCAATGAAAAAGGTTGAAAAACACTGCTGTAAGGTATTAATGTCATAGTTGTAAGATTAACATATTGTATTTATCCAAACTGGAGGTGATTGTTTAGTAGCTGAACAGAAACAGTTTCTGTTCATCTACCAAAAACTTGTTTGAAAAGTTTTGCATGCAGTTGGACTCCTGTACTGTGATGTATGGGTTGCACATACATGGTATAACAAATCACACTAATGTGTATTTTGTTATTCATTCAAGTAACTTTTCCTTTAGGACTAGTATTTGAAAAGATGGGATAACAAAACAGACTTACTAATGTTTGTTTTGTTATCTATGTTGTTAAATTTTCCTTAAATTCAAGAACATGAAAACAGGGTAAAATAAATTAAAAGAAGTAACTTCTGTTAGCCTTTCTGTTACTCTTCCATTTAAATCTAGCAAGTGAATAGTTGGGCTAACAAAACAAATATATTGAAGTCTGTTTTGTTATCTGTTTTAGTAATTTTTCTAAATTTTACTACTACAAATTTATGCTTTTTTTTTTTACTGTTTCTTAAATTGCCCCCAAAAAATTCAACTCCTTTTTTTCATTAACTCTCCAAAAGGAAACCTTTTTTCCTAGTGATTAACCTGGAGCTAGCTTTCTGAAATCTTTTCTTTCTTATTAATGGAAATCCAAAGACAATGAAATTGAGTGCATGCTGTTTGCCCTTGCAACATGAGGTTTGCACAATGTTCACAATCTTGTCATATCATGTGTGGCTAATAAAGTGGAAGAGCATTAAAAATTTGATTGTGATTGGTTTAATATTTTCCATAAGGTATGTAACTTTTCTTCCTTTTATTTTACATAAAATTATCATTAATATTTTATAAATTGAAATTCTAAAACACTAATTGCTAAATTAAAAATTTGATTGTGATTGATTTGATATTTTCCATAAGGTATGTAACTTTTCTTTCTTTTATTTCATATAAAATTATCAGGTGCTCCTCCTCTTTGCTATCCACATGTGATGTGATGATTGTAATCTTTGTGTGTGCCATGAAACATGATAGTGAATAATGCATGCTCAATGCTGTTTTCAATATTGGGAGTAAAGATGTTCTATCCTTTGTGTTAGAGAATGGACTTGTGGGAAAAGTTTTCTTTTGAAGATTTAATGAAAAAAAGATGCTTAGAAGTTTTGGGGGTGTAATTTGAAAAAAAAAAAAATAAGGAAATGTATGTTTGAGTTGCAAGAAATAAATTAAATAAATTACCAGGTATGGATAACAAAATAATGTTAATAACTCTGTTTTGTTATCCATCTAATTTCAGGCTAGGCCTAGAGGAAAAACTAACAAACTGGATAAAAACATGTTTGTACATCTGTGTTGTTATCCATCTATTTACATGATATCCCTAAAGAAAAAATTCTGGTGGGTAACATCAAAGGGTCTGTTTTATTATCCTATCTGATTACATGACATATCTACAGGGAAAACTAACAAGACGGATAATTAGACAGATGTTATTATATGCCTTGTTACCCTTTCCATTTTCATGACATATCAACAGGTTAATATAATGAATATCCAAAGCAGATGTTATTAGGTTTTTCTTGTTTTTTGTCTTCTTAAACCTTAGCCTAGAATGAAAATACATAAAACTGGTTGAGAAAAAGATGATTAAATATGTCTTCTGTTTCTGATTTTTTAATGCTCTAAGACAAGGAATCTATTTCACAATGGCTAACGAAAGGAAAGTTTACATTCTTAACTTTTGTCAAAACATTTATGCATTGTGTGTCCTGGCAAAAATGTCTGAATGGATTATGAAACATAAACATCATGGTCATAACAACAATGTTAATTTCAATTAAATTGAGAAGTTTTTATGAAAAACTTTAATTTGTTTTGTAAGGTTTTAATGTTCTAGACTAAATTTTACCAAATTATACAATGTGAACTTATTTTTGTAGATAACAATTTATCTACAAGTATATTAGAAATTGCTTTAAAAATAACTTATTTCAGTGATTACTTTACCATCTTTTTGTTTCTATCCTCTATCCTGACTACACTCTCTTTTGGTGAAATAACAAGTAATTTGCATAAATTCCTGTAACTTAATTTAACAAGATATTCTAAGATTTCTCCCTTTTGAAATTGTTTTTAACTTTGTTAAAAGAACAAAGAAACTCCAAGAAAAAGGAGGAACAATTAAGATGGAAAAATAAACCTGTGACCAAAAAATAAATGACTAAAATAAAAAGTAAGAAAAAAACAAAGCAAAGGATAAAAATGAATTTTTTTTTCATTATTGTAAATAATTGCAATTTAGATTTTTTAAAATCTTTCTTAGCATTTTTAAAAATCATTTTCTATGACTTTTTTCTCTTGGAGAACTTTCAAAATTACAGATAGTTTGGTTAATAAATGCTGTATGATGTTAATTTGGCATTTTATGCAAATTAGTCCTTTTGTCTTTGATAATAAGCACAATGAGTGAAGATGAAGGTAATCAACATGGTGAAAATGAAGGATTTCAAACAATAAGTATAGTTTTACTTTTTTCTTTGTTTAACTATTTCAGGTACTGTTTACTGTAACTTTGTGTTTGGAAGTTGCAAATTGGTTTTTTATTTAAGTCAAAAGCAATCTGACTTCTTTGGATTGAAAAATGCTTTGGAATTTAAAGGACATCTTCAATGATACCATCTGAAAGATTTTCTTAAAAAAAGCAATCTATTGGAAAGAAGTTTGTTTTACTTTTGAACAAGTTGAATTTGTTAATGTTTCAATTATTCTTGCTTAGTTGTCAGAGTTAGTTTATTTTGCTAACCTGTAAGGCAGTGTTTTTCAACTGGGGTGCCGCGGCGCCACGATTGGGGTGTCACAAAGTTTAGGGCCTTTAGTCATTTTCTTGGAAATTTACTTAAGTGTAGTTCAAGATAACTCATTGTCACTTCTATTTTGCTACAAGATATCTAGTAAACAAAGAAATGATGACTAATCGCATATTAACATAATGTTCAACGCTACGTGTATGCACGACTTGTCACGAGTTCGCCCAAACCACATTACTTGGCCTTCACATTCCCAGTCCCAGTACCAGGCCAACCAGCAGAGAAGAATGACATGGACACTTGTGTCTTGTATATACTTTAAAAAGTGTTGCATTGCACTTTGAAAAGCGTGCACAATGTAGATGCATATTACAGTACTTTCATAGTATTCAAAAGTAATGATGACAAATNATCGACCGTCAAAAATAGAACAATTTCAATTACATCACGTGACGGATTAAGCGAATGGAACGAGTCAAGTTCGGAATCATTAAAACTTTTTGAAATCGATATTCGATCCAGCTGTTATCCTGATGAAGAACCCAGAAGGGGTTAGGAAAACGTTTGATTTTTGAAAGAAAAAGTGACACACATCGGTTAAAGGTTCCGTAAGTCAGATTTATTATAGGGTACATCCATTCAGTATAATCAGATGGCCTTACAGTCATTATCTGCTATCTGTTATAATCCTCATAGCAGGTGGTAGATACTGACTTTCATGTGCTAATGAAATTAAAGTATGGCTGAAGAATGAGTAACTATTATGGATCAAGTTTGTTTATAATATTGAAGTCAGTTGCACACACAAACTATTGATATCTTATGTTAACTTTTAAACTTGATAAAGTTTAAACTAAAAATGCAATGAAATACAGTCTGAAGATAAAATTGAAAATGGAAAAAATGAGAACATTGAAAATAAAAATGCTCATGATAACTTTTGAAAATAGAGAGTAGTAAGTTTGGAAATAAGAAAAATATATGTGTATACAGTCGACCCCCCTATAACGCAATAGATACGTTCCACTTTATAAGAATTTCACGCTGTAAGAATCCTTAAATACATGAGTCAATCACAGCCCGGCATGTGTGCAGTTTATGGACTACGGCTGTTTGAAAGGTTTCTCCCATAAAATTAATAGATTCTAGACTAATTTGACTCAACATTTCCTTCCAAAATACGTATAATTTTTTGGGTATCTGTATAAACTATGCTATAAACAAAAAATTGTAGGATTACTTACCGAGTGTGCACCGTTCTTGCTTAAGCTTGC